GACGACGGTACGGGAAGTAACTCCAGCGTTTCAAACCGCTGGTCTGACGGAAGATGCCAACGCAGCTGTTTCCATGACGGTCACCGCGAGATCCACAGCTCTGCTGGCCACTGCAAAGGTGCGAGTCGAAGGTCCGACTGGAGACTTCCTGGACCTCCGTGCACTTCTAGATACCGGGTCAGATATATCCATCGTGAGTACCTGGGTGGTGCAAGCCTTGCGCCTCTCACGGCGACCGGTCCGGGTGGCCATTTCTGGAATCCAGGAAAAGGAGAGCGGTATATCGAGTTCGGAGGTAGACATACTGGTACGGTCCAGAATAGATCCGGGCTTCAGTCTACCGGTGCGAGCCTTGGTCCTTCGTAAGCTCACTTCTTGCTTGCCATCGCAGCCAGTATCATTAAAATCCTGGCCACACTTGGCGGGGCTAACGCTGGCGGATCCGGACTTCGGACTTCCCGCCCGCGTTGATTTAATTCTTGGCGCTGATGTGTGTGGCGAGCTGTTACAGGACAGTTCGCGTCATGGACCTCGCGGGACTCCGATTGCCAAACAAACTCCCTTCGGCTGGGTATTGATGGGGCCTGTTCCAGATGACTCCAGTCAAAATAGCATGACCGTCCGCAGCCTTCATTGTCGTTCCGAAGAGACGACGAATTCTATTCTTCAACGTTTTTGGGAGTTGGAGGAGCTAAATTATCCGCCCCCCTTGAGTGAGGAAGATGAACGCACTGAGCAGCATTTTAAAGACACGCACGACCGGCTACCTTCCGGTCGGTACAGGGTCCGATTGCCGTTCAAACTGGATCCAGAAAAGAATCTGAGTCATTCTCGGGCAACCGTACTCCGACTGCTGTTAAATTGCGAGCGGCGTGTTGCCAACAATCCCGCTTTAGCCTCAAAGTATGAGCAATTTATGGAGGAGTACCTCTCGTTAAAGCACATGGAGCCGGCGAAGCAATCGGAGACTCGTAAGTCATACTACCTCCCGCATCACGCGGTGACAAAGAAGCACGATCCCTCTGGAAAGCTTCGGGTCGTCTTCAACGCTTCTTTTCCTACTGCGACGAGGTATTCGTTGAACGACTGCTTAGCGGCCGGTCCTAAACTGCAGTCGGATTTATGGATGGTCCTAACCAGATGGAGGCTTTATAAGGTGGTATTCACTACCGATATAGTAAAGATGTTTCGGCAGATTCAGGTACATCCTGAGGACACGGATTGGCAGCGAATCCTTTGGCGCATTCGCCCGGACGATCCAGTCCAAGATTACCGACTGACCACCGTCACATACGGCACAGCTTGTGCGCCATTTTTAGCCCTCCGAGTACTTCGTCAGCTGGCTGAAGATGAGAGAGAGCGTTATCCTGCTGGGGCGAATATTATAGAGAGCCACTCTTACGTGGACGACATCCTCGCAGGCGCCGAAGATGAAAACCAGGCTCGATCGCTGAGAGAGGAAGTAATTTCCATCTTCAGGGCCGGAGCTTTTGAGCTCAGCAAATGGGCCTCGAATATGCCGGAGTTAAAGGAACAGGACTCGGATTCTCGTCTGTTTCAGGACGTTGCTGGAGTTAGCACCCTGGGAGTTCTATGGACCCCGGAAAGAGACACCTTCTCTCTGCGGGTGCTTCCTGCAGTGTCAAAACAACCCGGGTATACCAAACGCAAAATTCTTGCTGAAATTGCAAGTTTCTTCGACCCGCTAGGTTGGGCTGCACCGGTCTTGATCTATGCCAAGATATTGATGCAAGACCTCTGGATTCTGGGAGTCGAGTGGGATCAAGAACTCCCCGAAGAGGTGCGCTTACAATGGTGTCGATTCCGGACTTCCTTGGACCAGCTCGACGCTTTGTCCATTCCCCGTTGGACAAATTATTCGAAGAGTGCGCGGAGCGTAGAACTTCATGGCTTTTGTGATGCTTCACAAAGAGCTTATTCCGCCGCGGTGTATATGAGAGTGGCATATGCGGAAGATACCTCTACCGTTTTACTTGTCGCCAAAACCAAGGTCGCTCCGGTCAAGGCGGTCAGTGTACCCAGACTGGAGTTGTGTGGAGCGGTACTCCTTGCCAAACTTCTCGTGACCGTGAAGAATGGACTCGACGTTACCACGACAATCACAGCGTGGACAGACTCGAGTGTGGCACTCTGCTGGATCAAAGGGCATGCTTCGTTGTGGAAGCCGTTTGTGGCTCACAGAGTAGCCACCATACAGGGCCACATCCCATCTAATTGCTGGAGACATGTGGGGACAGCTAGTAATCCCGCAGATTTGGCGACCCGAGGTATCCAACCTTCCGAACTTTTGTCTTCGGATCTATGGTGGAAAGGACCACCTTGGTTACAGGCTTCGCCTGCTGCGTGGCCGGCTCCGATGTTACAGGATCCAAAATCAGCGGAGTTGGAAAGGGGAACCGCCCAAGTACACGCGGCTCAAGTTAAAACGCAGCATCAAACAGATCCGCTTCTGAACCGATTCTCCACCCTTTCCCGCCTCCTCTCAGTCATTAGCTACTGTTTCAGGTTCAGTCGGCTAACCAAAGGGCAACCTGCGGAAACGGGTTTTTTGAGAGCTGCAGAGCGCGCCTCAGCTCTTCGAGCGGCGCTACGTATCTCTCAAGCCACGACGTTTCCAGACGAGATTGTCCAGCTTCAACGGACAGGGAAACTACGGCCGAAGTCACCGCTCGCCGCTTTGCAGCCTTTTCTGGATGATGGCGGACTATTAAGATTGGGAGGAAGGCTTTCCAACGCACCGCTTCCTTACAATGAACAACACCCGATCATTGTAGCAAAAACCTGCCCTTTAGCTACGCTTTTGGTGAAGGATGCTCATCTGCGACTTCTCCACGGGGGTCCGCAGGAAACCAGAAGCCTCCTCGCCCAGAAATTTTGGATATTACGGGGGAGAACGTTGGTGCGAGCTATTATCAAAGGATGCGTGCGTTGTGCCCGGTTCAGTGGAAAGCCTGCCAGTCAACTGATGGGTCAGTTGCCAGCAGCGCGTGTGACTCCCCAGCGAGCGTTCCTCTCCACCGGAGTGGATTATGCTGGGCCTATCCTGCTTCGAACATCCGCAGGACGGGGCCACAAAGCATACAAGGGCTATATCTCGCTCTTCATTTGCCTAGCTACAAGGGCAATCCATCTCGAGGTCGTGTCGGATATGTCAGCCTCGTCATTCTTAGCAGCCTTTCGTCGATTCGTTAGCCGTCGAGGTCGTTGCACAACCCTGCTGAGCGACAACGGCACGGTGTTCCATGGGGCCGACAGGGAACTGCGAAACCTCTTCAACGGAGCTTCGGATTTCTATGGCGAAGCGGCAGCCGCTCTTGCAGCCGATGGGACGGATTGGAGCTTCATCCCGCCACATGCGCCTCACTTTGGCGGTCTATGGGAGGCAGGGGTTAAAACCGTAAAATATCACTTGAGGAGAGTCATCGGCGATTCCAAACTCACTTTTGAAGAAATGTCGACCCTCCTTTGCCAAATCGAAGCTTGTGTTAACTCACGACCGCTGCACGCGCTTTCGGATGACCCATCCGATCTGTCGGCACTCACACCCGGTCACTTTCTAATTGGGGAGCCACCATCCGTTGTTCCAGAACCCGAGGAGGAGCCGAACCGCTCGGCTTTGTTGTCCCGTTGGCGTCAAATAACACAAATGCGCTCCCATTTTTGGCACCGCTGGAGGAGGGAGTATATTCAACACCTCCAACAATTGACAAAATGGCGCCAACAACGAGAAAATCTGAAGGTCGGGAACCTTGTCCTCATACGGGACGACATATTACCTCCGACAAAGTGGAAGATGGGACGCGTCGCTGAGTTGCACACTGGGCAGGATGGATGCGTTCGAACGGTAACCGTCCGAACGGAGACGGGCTCGCTGTTACGGCCCATCGTGAAGCTTTGCCTCCTACCAGTCGCTGACGAAAACGACAACTCGCGGTCTCCGCCGGGCTCACCGGTAACGTGAGACTATTCAAGTTACATGCATTTTCCCGTGACTGAGCTCACGGCGGGCGGTTCGCTGTCGGCAACCCCCAGTTTCTTTAGTTGAACACTTATCATTATGAATAGCATTTGTAAATTTGTACTTTCTTTTCTTTTAAGAGACAGGGCCCCACTAAATGTGATGGTCTTGTCTTTGCCCTGCAAAGAGGCGGGCGGTATGTTCGAGCAACGGACGTATGTTTTAAATCCGACATCGGTGACGACCGCGAGCGTTGCGTTTCTCCCGCTCCGACTACCTACGTAGGCCGGCGAGGTAGACGGGGGGGTCGGTGTGGCGCCAAACTTCGGCGATATTCGCGAGCACCGATGATCGATCGCTATCGATCAGTTACTCTGGTTACAGCCTTTGTTATGAGTGAACGTCCTTTTCTTAAAAGTCGTTATTTTCTTTGCGAACGAAATGCTTCGCTGCCGAACAGTGCTTCGGAATCTTTCCATATTTTAAATAATTGGTTTTAAGAGACTTGTACAGAGAATTAATAGTATTAAGTGTAAATACAGTGCTAAAAT